AAAAAAAAAAAAAAAAAGTGATAATACCCAGTATGTCATAAATGTGAGACAACGGATATTCTCATGCTCAAGGTAAGTGCAAATTGCTATAGCCTTGCTGAAGGTAATTCTGTAGTATGTTACAAAACATTTTATTTATATATCCTTTGACCGAGCAATTCCACTTTAGTCTAAACTAGAACACAAAGTATATACATAATGTGATTTACTGCAGAACTATCAGTAATGATGAAAAACCAGAACCACACTCAACAACAGACAAATGGTTAAAATACATTATGGTATCTAAATAAAGGAATACCATATATAGCTGTAAAATAAGGAATTTTTACTGAATGAAAACAAAGACCAAGTTATGTTGTTAAAGACAAAAAGTGAGTAAGGATAAAATGTACAGTATGATTCCATTTATAATTACTAAAACTATACATAAGTGTTCAGTGAAAGGTCTGAAAGGAGAAAACGCCAATTTAATATCACGAGCACTTGTAAAAGGTAAGTGGCTAAGCTTCTAACTCCCCTACTAAGAAAACTTGATGCAGGAGGAAAGACCTTCTGCCAGTGTCTGTAATACTATACAACCCTGCCACTGGTCTGCCTCTCAGGTAGACAACTGATCCAAGGTAGGCCAGATTTCTCTCCTAGAAACTTGAAACTAGTAATAAAGTGGCACAAAGACTGGAAAAGTTGTTAAACTAAGGTCATATCAAAAGCAATGCTTTCTAAAGGCTCACAAACATTTGCTGCTAAATTTCCTGGAGGTGCCAAGTCCTTATTTTTCTGAGACTTACTGTTCTAGAATACTTCAGTTTCCAAGAGATGTTCCAATATCCTTTAACTAAATAATACATTTTCTCTTTTTTGGCTTATGCTCCCTAGCATCAGTTTCTATCTCCTGCAACTAAAAAAGCTGGAACTTATATGGCATAAAAGTAGGGTGGGGTAGGAAAACAGAGAATAAAGGGAATATTGTTTCTTATGAATATATTTATCTATTTTGTGTAAACTTTTTATAAGCATTAATTCCTATATTATTTGTGTACCTTATCAAAAAAGAGCCACTGATTTTAATAAAGTGTTCTTTATTAAAGTGTTCTCAATTTCCATCAATATTTTGAGGTTTATATTTTATAACCTGGCTGTGACTTATCTTTGTAAATTAGACCTATTTAACCCTAGCTTAGCAATAATTAAAAAGTATGGTTCAATGTAACATCAGTACCTTCAGAGTCTATAATTAATTTACTGAAAATATTATCTGACCTTATAATTTATTAAGTCCATGAAATTTTAAAAAGTGAAATACCTCCAACAGTGGCATTTCCTCCGTGATAATGGGATCTAAACGTCGATCAGGACCATATTTGATAGATGTTTTCTCTTCTTTTGTATTGTTAAGTCGAGGGCCTTGAATTTCTAAATCCTGTCTCCCTCTGACTGACATACTCAAGGAATGTTTTCCTGAAACAAAAAATAATCAATGCCCTAAAATAATTTGATATGTTAAGTGACATAAATTTAGCTTGAATACTGTAACTTTCATATTATTTCTAGAAAAATTCTAGACAATTACTGAGTAGCATGAATCATCAAAAAATTAGTCACATTTTACTTTTATGTTTAACCATACCCACTGTATGCTGCTCAATTTCTCATTTAGGAGAAATGAGACTTACTTACTTTGCAAATACAAAATACATTAGAAAGGAATACAGTTGTTTATTTTTGAAGCAATGGCAGAGTTTAAAATAATCCAAATAATCTAACTGCCTTGGTTAAAGGTACATTAGACCCATTTTTAAAACATGCTATTTTCATTCATTTTATTTTATGAAGATTTAATTACTAGTTTTGTATCTGTTTAGCAATGCTATGGTTTTACCTGTGTGACATCCAGGAAGAGAACCAATGCCATCTACTGTCATGCAGCCCTGAATAGTGCCAAGATTATAAACAACTCCGAGAATATGCAGCTCCCCTATGTGATGGGGAAAGAGCTTTAGTCTTGCCTGTGGAGATATTTAAGTCACTCTTATTATCTGTTTTCATAATATCTTAAATAGTGCAATACCTAAATTCTGTAATATTGCAGAAATTGAAAGTCATGACCTAAGCTTTTGAATAATGAATTAATTTATTATACTGGAAAGCATTTGCTTCAAAAGAAAAATCTGTAAATTCTGTAAATTCTACAATTACAGGCACAGATCTTAACTAATACTTCAAAGTAAACAAAAACCAAAATATTCTGGTCAACCAAATGTCATATGAAATTACCATACTGACCACCCCACAAAAAAAAAAAAAAAAAAAAAAAAAACAAAAAAAAACAACCAAAAACATCGCACCAGGCTTCTTTGAAAATTAACAAGCCAAATTAACAAACCAGACTACTCTTCTCCCACCAATTTCCTCTTGTGCAATTCCTGTTTCTGAATCTTCCAAATTTTAGCTTTTAAGAAAATTAGAATATAAAATAAACCTAATAAATTGGTTTTTTAAATTTGTTTCCAACTTACTTTTTCTTAAGACATAAAAATAAGAAAATAATTACCACTTTAGATTCTTCACTGTTAATTAAGAATTCTGAAATAAGTTCAGTTCCAATCATTTTAGGTTCACCTGTTACCTGAAAAATATTTTGTAAAATACATATTCTAATGAAAAGTATCAGAAGAATATTAACATTCCTATACATCAATATTTAAGAACAATAACAATAATTACAGTTAGCATTTACCAGGTTCTTACTATGTGCTAATCAATATACAAAGTTGTTTTTTTTTTTTTTTTTTACTTTCACACCTGGAGTGATCTAACATGTGATATATTTTTCTATTTCATTCAGTCCAATTCAAGTGAGGAGGATAAGTGATCTACTCAAAGTTGCAGCCACCAAGAGGATAAAACTTCAAGACATAAAGTTCAGCTACTAATTGTCAACAATGGCCAAAATGGCCGCTTAGTTTAATTTTGCAGTAAGAGCAAATTTCTCCATCTTTTACTCTGACTGGCCTCTTTTTCCACATTGTCCAATTGTATCGAGTAATGGCAGCCTAAGCAACATGCATAAAAGACTGGTGGACAATAAGGGCAGTAGGAGAGAACAAAAAAAAAGGCCTCCTCCAAATCAATGACTTCTGTAAGAGACTATAATCTTTGGTCATGTAACAAAGCACAGTTAACTGGCTCACACTTGGGGTAAAGCTGGTCCTCATAAACACTGTTTTACTTTTACCATGAAGTTAGTTATTTCACACAATAAATTAAAATTACATTTCCCTAAATTTCAGTTCAGTATCTTAGTCCATCAGCAGCAGAAAGTTATGAAGAAATCCAAAGAGTCTGAAATTTACAGGATAAAGTATAACTTAATTATACACAATGAAAAAATTCCACTTTAATAAACCTCCTTTAAAATTTAATATATTAAACAGACTAATATACTAAAAAGCTAATGGATCTTTTAAAAAACTGTACCAAGAGTGAACCATTCATAAGCTTCTTATTTGTATTCCAGGCATCAGAAAAAAAAAATTAGAAAAATTCATGGAGTTGCTAAAATTCAAGTCAGAATAGAGCCTACAAAATCTCAATCTTTGGAACTATCCACAATGAGTGTAATCACAAAACGTCTTCAATGAATTTAACCAACAAGACTTTACAGAAGGAAATCTTTAAAAATCAAAACACTCCAAGAGAAATAATTTAATAGTAAAGTTTAGTACGACATACATCTCTTTCCAGTTCTCCCTTCATAAATCAATGCCAAAATGTTGGGATATTTCCCAGTTCCAAAATAATGATTAAAGCATATATCAAGGTAGTACAAAGAAGTAAAAGTTATATAGTAGATAGTGGTGAATAGCCCAGTAAGTGGAAAAAAAAATTATTTTTCCCAGTTATTTCTGTTACAATCAGCTTGGTAATAAAGATTATTTGTCCAAGTCATTCCTACTTCAATAATAACTATCTTAGGGTTGGGTGCCTGGGTGGCTCACTCAGTTAAGTGTTCAACTCTTGATTTTAGCTCAGGTCATGATCTCATGGTTCGTGAGCACAGAGCCTGCTTGGGATTCTATCTCCGCTCCTCCTTGACAAGTGTGTGTGTGCTCTCTCAAAATAAACTTAAAAAAAAAAAAACCAAAAAACTATCATAGATAAAGAGCTTATTACAGACACGAATAAGAAAAAGATAAAATACATATAAAGATAATCCAAAAAAAGGAAATCCAAGATCTTCAACTTCACCAGAAATTAATGAATGAGATGGAAAATAATAAAGTAAAACAGCATTTTTCATACCTAGTAAATCAATTAAGATGCTTTTTTATAAATAAGAATGCTTAATGTTGCAAAGATGAGATATCCAATCCCATGTGTTGCTGGTAAAAAGCTTTGGTATGACCTCTTGGGAAACCAAAAGAGCACTAACATACTTATTCCCTAAAATTTTTTAACTTCATGCCTAGAAATCATTATTACAGAAATTATCAGGATGAAAAAAGTATACACCCAAATTTTTACCATTGAATTATGAGGATAGTAAACAAATGGAAACTTCTAAAACAACTATCAATGGAGACACAGTAGAAGAGCTTACAGATCATCCATGATGGAATATTACACAGAAATGAAATATTAAGACATGTTAATATCAAGATACACATACAAATCAACAGAATGAAAAAAAACCAACATACACAATATTTTTAAAATCCCATATATGAGAGAAAACATACAAATAGAAATTACTGGAAAGATATATAGAAAAGTGTTAAAGTGGTTATTTCTAAATACTGAGAAGACAGATTTATCTTTATTCTGTATGTTCTTTGTATTCTCTATTTTCAACAATATGCATATATCATACTTTTTATAGCTAGGGAAAACAGGCATAAAAAAGAATAAGTGTAGTTCACTGAACAGAAAATATTGAAATGTTATGCATCTGCTAGGCTATTACTGAAACATGCTTATTACAAATACCTTTTAATAACTTACTAGTTCTTTAACTTCTTCATTATCCTTTCCACTAATATCTTTAGGTTGAAACTTCCATAGCAATGACAAATCAGTCAACAAAAGTGGAACCTTCAAAGGATTTCTAAAAGCCACTTCCACTGTTATTGGTTCTACAAAAAGAAAGGCCTAAATTAGTAACTTCAATAAACCCCACCTAGCATGCTATGCTTCAATTCTCTGAACACACCTTACTTTCACAGCTCTGCATTTCTGCCTAGACTGTCCTTTACCAGCTTATAAATGTCCATTTATTCAGGATTCAGTTTTAAAACTACTTCCTCTAGAAGATTTCCCCAATTCCTATGTGCTAACGAATGTCACTCTCTCTTCTATATTCCAATAGCACACTTATATACTAGTATTACATCTCATACATAGTGCCTAGTTTTATACATACAGCTCACTAAGTTATGATTCCTAATTTATTTTTTGCATGCCTGGCTTCCAGTAATTTTTGGCACATAGAAAATTATCTTGCATCTGCTGTAGGTAAACAAAAAACCATGAATAAAAATTCAAGTATATCACCTTCTACAACTGCCAGTGGAAATCTTGAGTTATCTGAATAACTATTCAAACAATATTGTGTGGGGTAGAAATTGGATGGAACTACTCCTCTGTTAACCACAGCTACAACTTGTTCCTCAAGTTCTCGCCACTGCTGAGAGGATTCAGAGTCATATTCCTGATCGAGACTTACATGAGTAGCTGCTTGCTTTTCACCTAAAAAAAAAAGTGTCACAATTAAACACGTTTGTTAACACCTGCCTTCAATGAAACATATTATTAATGTGTGTGTGTGTATTTGAGAGAAACAGAATGTGCACGCAAGCAGGGGACAAGGGCAGAGGGAGAAGAGAGTGGGGGTGTGGGGCGAAAGAGAAAGAGAGAAAGTGAGAGTGAGAGAGAGAGAGAGAGAGACAGAGACACAGAGAGAGAGTCAGTCTTAAGCAGGCTCCACGTTCAGCACAGAGCCCGACACCGAGCTCAATCCCACAACCCCGGGATCATGACCTGAGCCAAAATTGAGTCGGACACTCAATCGACTGAACCACCCAGGCGCCCCTGAAACTTATTTTAAATAAAAATATGAGGTATCCGAATAAATACATATACATATACACTCTTGCCTATAATTATCTGAGAGAAAAATATCCTCTTATTAACCCTAGTCTAACTGGAACTTGGCTTATAACATTGATGTTCTTTTCCTCTTGACTCTGAAAGAATATATTTCTCCTAATATTCCAAATAATTTTATATGAAATACTTCAAACATACAGAAACACATGGGGAATAACAAATATTTATATATTAAAATTTAACAAATGCCAATGTTTGTTATAAGATCCCAAATACTCTTCATAAAATAAATGTTACAGATAGAATTATTGCCCTCTGTGTAACCCTCCCAAATCCTACTGCTCTCCTTCATGTCCACTAGCCCTTCTTCCCAGGGTTATTCCAAAGCTGAAATATAATGTTTTCATCCATATTTGTTTTTTACTTGATCACATGAATATATACATAAACAATGCATAGAATTGGTTTATATGTTTGAAATTTATAGAAATGGAATTACATTTGACTGTTCTGTAACTGTTTTCACTCAACATTATGGTGTATTATCCATGTAGAAACATACAGAACTATTTCTACAGCATGAATCCATTGTATAAATATGCCAAAATTTATCAATTCATTTCCTGCTACTGTTTCACTTTTTTTTTTTTTTTTTTTTTTTGCTGTTAACACTAATGTTGCCATAAACATCTTGATAAATATTTTTATTTTTTTTTATTTTTTTTTTATTTTTTATTTTTTTTTAAATTTTTTTTTCTACGTTTTTTTTTTTTATTTATTTTTGGGACAGAGAGAGACAGAGCATGAACGGGGGAGGGGCAGAGAGAGAGGGAGACACAGAATCGGAAACAGGCTCCAGGCTCCGAGCCATTAGCCCAGAGCCTGACGCGGGGCTCAAACTCACGGACCGCGAGATCGTGACCTGGCTGAAGTCGGACGCTCAACCGACTGCGCCACCCAGGCGCCCCTTGATAAATATTTTTAAATAAAATACTAAATTAAATCTCAAGGAGAAATATAGTAAGCTTAAATATAACAATACACAGAATCACAAAGTTTACTCTAACATACATCAATATATTTATACTCTTGGCCCAGTATACCATTCTAAGGTTCAATCCTAAGAAAATAAGCCTATATTTTAAAAAGTCTTACAACAAGGACAGCAGAATATTGGCAATTGTTCTCTGCTTCTGTGTACATTTGAAATTTCCATAATAAATTTATTAAATTTATTAATTATAAATTAATAAATAAATTTCCATAATAAAAAGTTAACAAGTTTTATCCACAAGAACATCCATCACAATGTTTATATAAGGAAAAGAAGAAAATAGTCCAACTATATAAGACACAAACATTACAGTACTTTATAAGTACTGAATAAAGTATCTTACAGCCATTAACATTGTTCATTAAGATTATATAATAACATGGGAGTGCCTGGGTGGCTCAGTTGGTTAAATATCTGATTTTGGCTCAGGTCACGATCTCATGATCTCATGGTTTGTGGATTCGAGACCCACGTCAGGCTCTGTACTCAGAGCTCTGAGCCTGGAGCCTCCTTCGGATTCTGTGTCTTTCTCTTTCTGCCCCTCTACTGCTTGTGCTCCCTTGCTCTCTCGAAAATAAATAAACATTAAAAAAAAATTTTTTTTAAAAGGTATGTAATAACATGGGCATTTTTCCTATTATGTGAGAAAACCCATTATAATTATAGCTATTTTGTTATTTCTAGCTTTTAGAGCCGGAAGAAAAACCATTGAAGTAGTGGTTATCTTCAAGGTGGCAGGATGGTGACATGGTAGAGTTACTTATCTTCAAACATTCTTCAACAATTACAACATCATTTCTTAAATAAAGAAAAAAGCACTTAAAAAAATAGTCACTAGGTAAAAAGGCAAAATAAAATTTTACAAACCATCTGCTGGTCGTCTGTCGTGGCCAAAGAAAACCCGTGTGGCTGAACTGTTAATATACGGTAAAGGTAGCTGCGGTAAAGGGCCATCTGGTGACAGCTGACTTACATTCTAGGAGAAATACAAAAGAAAAAAGTTTTTTTGAGAAAATTCCATTTCCTTCATATTTGCCTCCTCATTTTTTAATATGCAAAGTATTAAAAACATGTTAAGCAAGAATATTAAGATAAACAATTAATAGTTTTACTTAATACATCAGTCATAAAATTTTAGGTCTCATTTATTCTGGCCCAAGAGAATCTTCCTAAAGTTACTCAGCTAGCTATTAGCTCTCTTTGGAAGTTAAAACTTCCAAATATTATTTTGGTGCACTTTACTTCCTGTGACTCATTACAGCATCCTATCTGCCAAAATTCTAACCCATATGATCTCAAATTAATAAAGTTTCTTAGAAAGAGGTATTTTTCTGCAGGACAGATAAAATATTCATTATCCATAGGTCTTCAGAAAAAAATTCACAACTTTCCACTTTTTCCGTAAAACAATGTTTTGTATTTTCTACCCTCTTGTCTCAGTGAAGTATTTTCTCACCAAGGGATGGTATGAGGACCCAATATAAAAAAATTTGTATGATTCAAAAAAAAGAAATAATAGTCCAGAATGTTGTTAATTCCAATATAAATCAAATGCTTAATGAAATATTAAAATCCTCTTGTAAAGAACTGTAGAAGAGCAATGCAACTCAGATCTATGACTCAAGAGCATAGCCTGCCACACTTTATTATGGCAGATAAGTACATAAATTCTAAGAAAGCCATTTTATTAAACTCCTACTAGACACCACTGAATATGCTTTTTGCTGAAAGTAATAACTTAAATATAATTTTAATATCTAGTCCTGAAAATAAGTATTCACCTTGTAAACATAAAGATACTCTCTGAGGAAGGCCCCTTGTTGAGCAGCAGATTGTTTACTTTCATTGATTAAAATATGCCTAAAAGCAGACACAGCATTGTCCAGTTGCCTAAGGGTATAGGACTGGCGCCCAATAGTGAAGTTAATGTGATCCTCTGCCAGAGACCAGCCTTTTCCTTTGTAAACCTGCATGGCTTGACAATAACAGCGTAAAGCATGCTTTTTCTGTAAAAAAATAAACAAAGTATTACAATCTGAATTTCTCTTGGACTAGAAAAAACAAATACACACACACATAATCACATAACTGTTAATAGGTACTTCCTCTAACAGAGACTGGAATGATGAGCAAAATGAAACTAACATTTATGAAAACCCCATTGCAATTATTACTAAAAACCAAGAGATCCTGAAGTAGGCAAGTTAATTGCTTTGTCCAAGGGCAGGAAGTCTAAGAAGTCAGAAATAATAATGACTTTATAAAAAACCATCTAGGAGTTCTCAGAATGGCAGTATATGGAGTCATGAATCAGAGGCTTGGTTGTTATTTTAATGTTTTTTTTTAATGTTTATTTATTTTTGAGAGAGACAGAGACAGAATGAGAGTGGGTTAGGGGCAGAGAGAGAGGGAGACACAGAATCCAAAGCAGGCTCCAGCTGTCAGCACACAGCCCGAAGCGGGGCTTGAACTCACAAGCTGTGAGATCATCACCTGAGCTGAAGTCGGCCACTCAACTGACTGAGCCACCCAGGCGCCCCGGTTGTTATTTTATAACTAAGAACTATCTTACTAATTTTGTTATGATCATCTCTATACCACTGCATTGGGCTGAATGAATACCCCATACGTGTGTATGTATGTATTTATATGTGTATACACATTTTTTAACTACTGTTTCACTTGGGAGTAAGAGTATGATATATTCTTTTTTTTTTTTTTTTTTTTCCCACTGCTGCATCCTGCCACACCCGTGAGCAATTATTTGGCATTAATTACCTATCACTGCCACACTCTGAACTCAGACAACCTTTAGCTTAAAACCTGGATTTGGTACCAAGGAAGAGGCTTCTCCCCACTCAACCTTCTGCTTCAGAGTATACTCTTATACCTCCTCTCCTCTCCAGGGTGGATTACAAACTTTTAGTATGTATATCCAAGACTGCTCGTTTTTTAAAAGAAATGTTTCCTTGTAAATAAATAATTAAAACAAATCAAAATCATCTGCCACTTAATACCATAGAATTTAAGAACTCAGTATCTCTTTTGTGATATTCCTACAGAGATACCCAATTTGAATCTCATCACGAGGAAACACCAAACAAACCTAAATTGAGGGATACTCCACAAAAATAACTGGACTGTAATCTTCAAAAGTATCAAGGTGATAAAGTCAAAGTATCTTTCTGAACAGGATCCTTATGCTATAAAGGACCATTTTTATGGGACAACTGTCAAAACCCACATGGGGTCTAAGGATGGGTGGTACTGTATTAGTACTAAGTTCTTGATTTGATGGTTGTATTATGGTTATATAGTAGAAAAAAGTCTTGTTTCTAGGAAACAGGAAATAATGTCCTAAAGTATGTGGAGGTAATGAGATACCAGGGAGACAACTATCAAACACTCAGGTAAAGTTTCTAACTGTACTTGTAACATTTTTATAAGTTTGAGACTATTTCAAAATAATTTTAAAGTGATGTTTCTTGAAAACACCCCTAATCTCCATACTGCATTTAGTAAAAAGGAATACAAACAAGTCTTAAAAACTAAGAGATACAGAGAAAAAATTGAATATGTCAAAATGCTGAGTTCAAGTACATTTTTAGGATTTCTTGGAAAAACATCCAATGAGATTTAAAAGGTAAAAAGGATTTAAAGTCTGCTTTTTAAAGTAAGAATTGAAAGACTGTCTAGGGGTATACTTGGACACATATACATATACCCTCCCCAGCAATTTTTTTTTTTAAGTTTATTTATTATTCTGAGAGTGAGAGCAGGAGGGGCAGAGAGAGAACTGGAGAGAGAGAATCTCAAGCAGGTTCCACACTGTCAGCGTGAAGCCTGAAGCCAAGGCTCGAACTCACAAACCTGTGAGGTCATGACCTGAGATGAAATCAAGAGTCAGACACAACTGATTGAGCCACCCAGGCACCCTCTCCCCAGCACTTCCTTAAAAATTTTTTTTTTACTAATCATCATAAAAAAAATTTACTAATTTTAATCTTTGGTAATGCCAGTTCCTTTTTTTTAAATGCCTTTCACTAGTTGATAATCATAATGGAAATCTAATGGGAAAAAAAAAAAAACCTATAAAAAATTTCTAGGGGCGCCTGGGTGGCTCAGTCAGTTGAGTATACAACTCTTGATTTCAGCTCAGTTCATGTTCTTGCAGTTGTGAGATCAAGCCCCATGTCAGGCTCTGCAATGGGCATGGAGCCTGCTTGAGATTCTCTCCCTCCCTCCCTTTCTACCTCTCCCCAGCTTGCGCTCTCATGCATAGGCTCTCTCTCTCTTAAAAAATAAAAAAAAAAGGAAAAAGGAAAAATTTCTAGGGACAAGATAACCAATCCAGCACAAATTCTCAGGGAGGACTGAGAAATGGCATTACTATACAAACATATCTCCTCTACTGTCCTCTCATCCTTGCCAACAACACACATTTTAATGGAAATGTCATGAAAAGTTGGTGTTTCTCAGAAACAATTTGGCCTCAGTCACAACTGTTTGTGTTCTACGTCCTACCTTCCAAGGAAGATACTGTTCTTGACCAACTTCAATAGGGTATGCATTTGCTTTTCCAACAGAAAAGCATTTCTAGTCATGCTTTCAGCTGCTACATACTGTCTGAGAAAGAGGTTCAGGGTCTATATAGAATGTTCGCAAAATACAAAACCAGGTACCCTGGAATCATTAACTCCATGATATAACTACAGTTAGATTACTGAGCCAAATAGTAAATGTATGTCAACCTACCACAAATGTAGCCATTTTTAATTTGCTATGCATTTCCTAGAAGCAACATGCCCTACAATTTCAGAAGATGAAATATGCATGGCTATTTCCAGTTTCAATGACATCATCATGTTCACAAATGAAACCATTCACAAAAGTGGACAAAGATGTGGGAAAAGAATGACTTGTTTTTAATAAGAGACAATGGACCATTCGCAATGAGGTATATAATTTTCCTCCCAAGCAAAGGGAACCACATACTTTATGCATTTTGTAAATTTTTGAACAGAACACTTTTAAGTTTTTTATTTTGAAAGAGAGAGACAGAGACAGAGACAGATAGGAACACAGAGAGCATTCTTCAATCCACATTTCTATCCACCATTTACTACCGCTACCACTCTGCCTCCAGCAAAGTCCCTCCAACTAATGCTTAAAGAGGCAACTGGGGCTGGAGAAACTGCTCTAAATTAATCGATCTAAATTAAAGATCTCTCCAACCCAACTGCTTCCAGGTACGAGAGAGAGATGATTTCTACTCATTAAATATTTAGTAAATATCAAAAGGCACTTTGAGAGGTAACAGAAGACTAGAGCTGAAGTAGGGACAGTCCAACCACTGTGAAGGATAATTAAAACTGGTTGAATACATTCAGTATATTGGAACTTTCACATATATACTTTGGTTTAAGCTCACAAAACTTTGGGAGAATTTTCAAATTTTATAAATACAAAACCTGAGGCTCAGAGAAGTAACCCAGGTCATGTTGTGAGTAGAAGATCAAGACTGAAGCCCACATTTACCTAAATCCAAATCTCATGCCCTTACCAATATAACAAAATTTACTTCCATTTTTAGGATTAATTTTAAATCATAAAAAATTGACAAATGACATACATTTATAAAATACATAACTGTAACAAAAATTAAAATAATTTATTTGTTAAATAAAATGCACTCACTTGCCCTGCTTTACTAAACCGATGTCCTGCCAGTATCATATGAAATGCGTATTTTCTAACCATGGGGCTCTTCATGTTTATAAAGCAATGTGCTGCCTGTTCCAAAAGAAGTGCACTTCGAAGATCAGAATCCTATTGAATGTTTAAGAGAAAATAAGGTTAGTTTCACAAAATTAAAAGTAAAAAGATAACTGGTAAAAAAATATTTACTTTCTAAAAACAATATAAGCATATTCACATTAACTTAAGAGTATCTGAGGGAAGAGATCAAGGGGCAATCTAATCTTGATGATTCTTTCTTCCAATAAGCATGAACTTTTCTTAAAATCCTTCAAAACATTCTCTACCATGAAATATTTTCTTTTGTTTTTCATAAAGCCAAATGTGTGGTTATGATATGTACCCTGTAATAAATCTCTGAAGAAATGTAATCCCTTTTCAGGGTGCCTGGGTGGCTCAGTCAGTTAAGCGTCCGACTTCAGCTCAGGTCATGATCTCACACTCCGTGAGTTCAAGCCCCACGTCAGGCTCTGTGCTGACAGCTCAGAGCCTGGAGCCTGCTTTGGATTCTGTGTCTCCCTCCCCCTCTGCCCCTCCCCTGCTCATGCTCTCTGTCTCAAAAATATACAAAAGAAATGTAATCCTTTTTCAAATGGCAAAGAAAAAAGTATATAAACTGAGAATTTAATACAGGTATACTGAATAAAGATAAACCAGAAAAGAGAATGCAGAAAACAACAGATTCACAATTATCTAATTTCTTCTGAAACTGATCTGTGACATCCAATAGCCTATTTCCATCCAAGATAAAAGGAAAGATAAAAAGAGAATGTGTGTAGATTATGAAATAATCCAGTCTACTATTTTATCCTCTATTAACTTTACTGGATTTAAAAGCAATTCTCAATTTTTGCTTAATTCAAGAATGTCAAAATGACTGCTTTTCATTAAAAAATTTAGAAGGCTTTTCCCTTAGAAGATTATCACCTACTATTAGTATTATTAGTAAATGGTCAACTCAAATTAGTTTCCACTTCAACAGACTCTTACAACAGTGTCTACAAAAACCACATACCGCATTTACATCCTCACCCATAAGGACAACCTTTCAAATGAAAGAGCCATCATCACTTTACAAATAACTGAGAAAGTAGTGAAGGTTGCTGATCAAGCATCAACAACATTTTCACCAAAACTTTCTCTAGGTTTTCAGCTGTTCTCAAGCTGAACTTACCATGCCCTTCCATGTGTTCTGCTGCCATTATTTTCCCCAGGGAAAGTTGAAAACAGAAAACATTTACTTTAAATGCAATAATGTCAACAAATTATAGTTACATCAAATAGTGCTCATAATCAGTGTAATCAGTGATTATAACTATCTCTGCAGCAATCACAAAATTAGAGTGGAAACAGATCTGAGGAAAAAATCTAGAAAGCATCCAGTAAATGGCAGATATTATTTCAATCCCCTTGTGACAAAAACTAAGTATCTGATCAGGTGTTTTTTTCTAAGTAAGATCCCAAAGCTAGTAAGTGGGAAAATCAGGAATGTACAATTAACAAGCAGTTCTTATCCAAGGGTTTACATCAGAATTACTTAAGGCACCTAGGGAGTATACTTTTTTTATTTTTTAGGAAAATGTTTTCTTTAAAAATACTTTTTTCTAAAAGAATAAATGTTCAGAAAAAAAAAAAAGTGAACATCTTTCTTTCCTACCCCATGCCTCATCTGACTTTCCAGAGGTACCTACAGTTACCAGCTTGGTGTTGGTGTTTGTCATTTCTCTCGCTCCATATTTGTTTTTATGTAATACATAGTTTTCTAAAAATACACATACTTTTTGATACATAAATGGTATTATACAGAATATTCTTTATCTCATTTTTTGACTTACAATAATATCACGGACATCTTTCAAGACACCTACATCTCTTATTTCTTTTAAAGCTACATTGTATCCTGTTATATAAATACACCATAATTTTATTAATACAGTGTCCAACTGATTTAATATTGCTTCAGAATTTTGTTACTACAAAAAAATACTTTGATAAACATCTTTACAAAATCATTTTTGAGTAATTATACATTTTTATTAGACACATTTCCGCAAGTAGAACCGGTTAGTTAATGAAAGCTATGTATATAGTTCAATTTCTAGCCAACAGAAAAAAAAAAAGTAATACCAACATATAGTCATCTCAACAGAGAAGGAGTGTATGTTTTCTATTCCACTCAGCCAAAAATCATTTAAATTTTTTTTTACCTCTTTAATTAAAAAAAAAAAAAAAAAAACCACTTTGCTCAACATACATTTACTAGTAAGGCTGGTAATCTTTTCGTACGTTTAACGATCTTTGTATTTTTTCTGTGAATCACCCATTTATACTTTTTTTGTGAATGGGTTTTTGTGATCATGGGGTTTCTAAAAGCCCTTTGTACGCTTAATCAATATTAGGTCTTTGTCATACATTTGCATTAGTATTTCCCAGTTTTTACATGAAAGAGTTTATTTAGTAGTCAAGCATACTATCTTTTGCCTTTATAGCTTCAAAATAACTGCATCAAACTAAGAAAGGGTGATATCATTCCTAGATTAAAAAAAAATGTTTTCCTACATATTCTGTTAGGTTGTTTTTCCATATTATAACTTAATCAAGCTATAATTATATTATCATGTAACAAGTAAGACAGGAATCCAACCTCAAACAGTTAGATGTCACAATACTATTTGGTGAATAACCTAACATTCCCCACTAGTTTTAATGATACCTAATCATATGCTGTATTTAAATTCTCATCCTATTCCATTACTCTGTCTCTTTTTATCACTGTAAAAAGTTTCAATTTCTGTAGCTTTGTAACATTTTAATATCTGGAAGAGCAATTCCCTCTAATTACTTCTTCTATTTCAGAATTTTATTTAGGCTTCTCAATAGTATTTCACAGGTTTTTTTAAGTGCTATAAATTAAGTCTATACCTAGTATGTGCAAGCGAACACACGCTGGCACATACAAACATACAGCATAAATACATATATATGTTTTTTAATTGCCTATGAGGCTTCATTAAACTCAAAAACTTGGAAGGGCAGCAATCCTGGACATTTTGATTAAGATAAGGAACACGCCTTAGAATCTTTGATGGTATGTAAATGATTCTAATGTATAACCCAATTGAGACCAGGACAGTAAACCCTCAGCACAGTCAAAATTAATACTCAAAGGCTGACCAATTTAGAAGAGACCTGGAAGTCCATGGCATATTATTAATTTAGTTGAAGCAAAATTTGACTCTTGAATCCAGTATGGCAGTTGTCTGAAAAAGAATCAATTTGCTGTGCTGAATGCCCTACACTCATGGCTCACTGCAACTTTGTTCTTTAGTAGTCCCTATCGCTTACAGTGACACCTAAAGGAGAAAAAACATTCCCCTGAAACCAAAAAAATAGCCCCGCAAAGAATCACAACTGCCATCAGTGTCGATGGAAGAAAAATGAAAGGATTTCACAAAGTGACAGTTTTATCTAGAAAGCAGAGGCTTTGAATGAATTGAATAAAATTTTATTTTAGTGGTAGTTCACATCTATGATATGAACAAGTCTATTACATACGCTCCATAAGGAACTAAGAAAAAAATATCTGATACTACAGAACTGATACAGGTACTGGTGGCACAAACTTAAAGGAATTAAATCTCAAGGATGGCTTTCAGATTTTTTCTTTGGGTAACTATGAAGTTAGCAGGAAAGATGCTATGAGCTGATGAGTTTACCACAGGAACAGTTCCTGCCAAGGTGAAGAACCTTGTAAAAACTATTACTATCCCAGATAGTAAAAAAAAA